TCTGCAAAGGTAGAAGCGAAGAGTGGTCGACGTGTTAGGGCCCAGGCTATACGCTGCGCGTATTAAAACTTACCCAGCAAAGTTTTAAAAAGTGTGTAGTCTAGCATTGACGTTGTGAAAGACTGCCCACTTATTGAATTCTTGATGCATAACTCAATTGAGCGCGCTAATCATATTAGCTTTCAATAACATGGCATGAAATCAATCTATTAACTTATGTGATATCTATTCGGACTCTGTCGCATACGCTGCATAGACGAGCCTAATCCCTTTCGACGATTTTTTTCACAAAATATTGCCATATGCGGCTCAATTTCATTTCGTTGCAGCAGTGCAGCATTGCAGCATTGCAGATGAACTCATGTCCAAATATTGAGTTTCTTTTTGTATTCAGGTATGTTGGTTTATGGCCCCGGATGTCGAATAAACTCGATCATAATTTGAATATGTATGTTACTTGATAATGATTTTATGATCGAAAGATTTTTCATTCAATGGTAAAAACAAAATGCAAATTTTTACGATATCTGCAAATACTTTATTCGTTATAGTGAGACTATAATTGATAGCTATCGAGATTACTCAATATCGAGAACTATAAACCGGACAGTGCTTCATGTCTTATGCTGTCATATGGTGAAGAGCAGCGATCTTTCTTAATTTTTAACAACTGTACGCGACAAGAGCTTGGCATGTCTATTGAAAATTTCCAGACCGGGAACGGGCAAATGATTTGCGTCTCGTTACTTTTGATAAAGCATCTCAACTATAAACGCAATGAGTTGTTTCACAAACATGCATAGCATTACGGGCTTATCTTAAGTGACGTAGAGGATTTTTTCCAAATTGTTCGCTACTATTTTCATTGGCAATTAAATTCGCCAGAATTAATAAATTTTTCTTTTAATATTTATCTATAGATTTTATTTTCACACATAATACTATGACCGAAAAGTAAGACCAATTTTCAAGATAAATTGCGCAAGTATATCGAGTATCGGAAATATCGTTTTTCAAAATTGATAGAACTGCGTTAGATATCTATGTCAAGGTTCACATCCTAAACGCCAGTAGGGTCTCAGCTGGGTTCGATTTGATACGAAGCAAAAAGAATTATCCCCGATTTTTAAAATGTTTACGAGAAGATAATTTCTGACTATTACTCGGCCATAAAACGTACTATTACGGCAGATAAGACTTGGGCCTACGTCTACGAACCGGAAAAAACCGATCAACCGACCCAATATCGAAAAAAAAAAAACGATAGTAAATTCACTTAAAAATCAAAAGAATTTTAATGGTTATCTTCGATTATCGTGCTATTGTGCACTATAGAATGATGTATGGGTACCTAAACTATGCATCTCTTAAAGCCATTCATACAGCTTTATTGATTTGTTCTCTCCAAAGCTGTGTAACTTCAATGACTATGTAACTCTGACTGGTACTGGCTGGTGTTATGTTGTACGTTCTCAAGATGACTCATTTGTGACAGCCTGACCAATTATCGTTATCAGTTACATTACGCGTCACAGTAACAGTATATCAGTAAATATAATGGCATTCTTATAAGATTCCGACTTGTTGACTTATTAAGGAAGAGACTTCAATCAAAGCATGACTTTACCGTGAAAATTGTTATCTTCTATCAACTCGATGTTTATTAATATTTTATAAGGAAATATGGAAAATATGCAGCACATAATTATAATGCAGTTGAAAAGCCAAGAAAAACTGGAGCGAATGTCACGACATAATCTAAGAAAAAAAAAAAAAAAAAATAAATAAATTGAGAACAAAAAGACCTGAATCTGCCTGTAAATGTCGATTAGATTGCAACTTTTAAGCATTTGTATATGAGTAGTAGATCATTGTGAACGGTCTGCGAAGGCTGCCTTGTCAGTGTGTTGGAATTTAAATGAAGTCTTTTATACCACCTTGGTTAGTGGTTAGAAAAAAGCTAACAGAATATTTTCCTTTGCAGTCACGAAAAGTTGTTTAATTAATCATAAACTATTTTCTTTAGCATAATAAACACGTTTAACAAATTATACGTTGGTTAGGAAAATTTCGCTTTTCGTTTTTTTTGCTTTCTTTTTTTTTGCTTTATTTAACAGAAGATCATAACAATATTTTTATTAACGTTACAAACAAATATTTATAAGAAATGTAAAAAAGAAAAACTTTGATAAGCGGAAAATGTGAAAAGAGCAGAGGATGGGAGGCAAACGAAAACAACCTGTGTCTTCAACATTATTATTAATATAATGTTGCTCTTCTTCTCTTTTTCTTTCCATATTTTTTTTTTTTTTTTTTGAAGAAGTTTGTTCATTTATGAATATTTGTATGTACGATGATAACATTTCTATATATATATATATATATATATATATTATCAATTTGCCTTTTTTCGTGCTCTAAAACTGCTTTTAGCTGCATTCTGCATCATCTGTGGGGAAAAAGTACCGAGAGGCGTTTATTTCGCATTCTTTTTTTTTTTTTTTTTTACCAAATTCTTGTTTTATTCAAAATAAATTTTAATTGAGTACACAGATGACTTTTTTTTGCTATTTTCCAAGTACTATCATTATGCCATCACTGGGTGGAAAACTGAAGAAATTGATATCCATAGAGCTCGTTTGAAATCTATGTTTGTTTATGGTAGCCGAGCAGGGCAATATACGGTAGATGCGGAACAAAGCTTTCCATCCAGGTCTCCTCAAATATTGTCTGATTACCAAAAATATTTGTGATCCAACATGATGGCAACGTGGAAGAAGTCGCCTTTTTTGTTCACCTTTACTGAATGAAATTTTTTTTGTTTAATCGCTTCAGGTTAATCGCTAATAGAATAGTTTGGACTAAACAACTTGATCGGATTTTTGAATTTTATAATTTGCACGCAAACACACACACACACACACACACACACACACACACATACATTACTTTAGATCGGCTTTAAAGTGAAGCGAAGACATTTTCAGCATTTTTTAGCAGCACTTCCCCCATGGAAGCCCACCTTTTTCATAGTTTCAGTCATCGGTAATTTATGCGGCTCCAGCCTTACCAAGACGGTTTAAAATTTTTTTCTAATCAATATTTACTTAGTTAGCAATGCTATGTCTGCTACTCTGTCACTCTTTTCCGATATTTTATACGATTTCATCAATTATTTTAATGACCGCTTGACTACAGCAATACGAATTTTTGATATCAAAATTTCCGGAATGCAAGCGAATAAACTACCGACATGCTATTGCATTTATAAATGTTTGAGATTCGGAAGAGTCTTCACAGTTTTCCACATTAGTATAACTTTGGATACAATTGATGAAATATAAAATAATTTGCAATTATCTAAATAGTGTCCTCCGATATGTGATACCAAACCTGTAAAAATCTAATCGAAACGAATCTCTCAATAGTTTTTCCTCTTAACTTCCATATACGCAGTCAACTGTATATGCTTGTTGTTCTAACTACAGATATGCTATTGAATGTGTATTCTTGTGTATATATGCATAATGTGTGCGTACATATATCAATGTGTTAGTATAAGCAAAATATGTTGAATAAACTACGACGTATATGTGATAAGTCATCGCATACGTGATACGTTAATAGCAATGTAGTTATTTTCTTGGATTCAGAAGCAAAGCGTTTTCGTGTTCAATGGTTTGCTTTGTGAATGTTGTAATCGGACTCTCAATAGGAATGTTTCGTTAATATCGGAATTCTTAAATGCTTCGCTTATGTACTGTCTGTAAAATTGAAAGCCTCTTCTATTATTTCTGTATTTTTTTTCTTTCCTTTTCTATTCCTTTCCTTTCCTTGCTATTCCTTTGTTGCGATTTGGCTTTCTTTGCTTTTGCTTTTTCTTTCCCCACCACAGTGGTACACACAGTGTACCACTTGTGGTACAGGTTGTGGTATATCAAAGTTGTGCGGTTGTATGAAACAACCAGAAGGTCTTGAGAGAGACCCTTTATCTTTTATTATAGCGCTCGATTCAGAATAACTTTTTGCATTGATTTAAGCTTGTCTGTCCGTCTGTTCTATTGGAAACTATTGGGCCCGGATCGCTTTACTTGAAAAATTCATTATAGGAGTAGTCATGTACTCGTTATCGTCTTTTTACTTTATAACGGCATTCGTAACCTATTATCCTATTGCAAATTACTTTTGGATTAAATTAATAATTATATAGGTAAAAACGAGTGCATAAGCATGTAAATGTAAAGTGGAAAATATCGAGAATTTTTGAATTAGAAACTATCTTCTTTCCCCACCTTAAACGTGTATATGTTTGGTTGAGAACAAAAATGATGTACGATGATAACGTGTTTATGACGCTTGTGACAGTAACATTGAAATCAATCAGATAATCAATCCGTTATAGCATAAAATGTTAAGACCGAACTCGCTTGTATCGCAATTTGCTTATGTAAATTAGCAAAATTGCACAATTAAAGATCAGTCTCTTCATAGTTTATGCATTATAATGAAACGGCGTTATTCTATATAACATAAAAAAAAATAAATAAATAAAAAAAATAAAATCATTATAGCGCAAGAATGGCCGAATACGTAAGAATCGCGACTTGTGTCCTTTTCTTCTTTCTGGCCGGCCACGCTTTACACGAGTAGGTGACATCCCCTGGTTGATTGGTCGTTTGAAACAAAGAAAATCGATGGGTATCCAAGATTAGTTCTTAAATCCATAGGGTCGTAAAGGAATTTGTTGTTTTGAAAGTCCCGTTAATGCCATACTTGATACACGTACATCATCGTTCACGTTGAATGACGGGAATAACGTTGGTTGGTTTATTTATTTATTTATTTATTTTTTTTTTTTTTTTCTAATTTTGAACTTTAAAATCTTTATGCAGCATGAATAATGGTTGAATTGTCCTAAGCATTTCGTGAATGTGAATTTTTTCTTTCTTTATTTAATTTTGGATTTTCATTTTTTTTTTTTTTTAATTTAATTATTACAGCTTGGGATATTGGTAACTCGGTGCAGGACGCTTTTGTCATAGCCGTTGAAGAACATGCCAGAGAACGTTTACAACGCTTGGCTGCCTTAAATCGTGTCACACCTGTAGATATTACGCAACTATCGAAAAAGGTAAGTTTTCGAAGGGTAATCAAAAAATATAAACAAAATAAATGAATAAATAATTAAATAAATAAATAAATAAGTAAATAAATAAATAATTAAATAGAAAATAAATTAAACGAAAATAAATGAAATGGAAAGTTATACAATCATATATTTGGAGTGATTTGCAGTATATTATGTTGTTTAGCATATGTTATTATTGTTGTTGCTATCTTAAACTTTCACTCTGGCCGAGCAAACCATATTAAAATTCAACAACAATTAAATTGTTTTATATGCAAAATCGAAACAAAAACATAAACATAAGCAAGCATTGAAGTTAGTTTCGCTTAACTTAGCTTAGCTTTATATTTTTTATATAGTAGTAGTAGCTATTACAGCAAGCAACATCGCTGCTTTCTGTTGTTGTTGTTGTTGTTGTTCTTGTTGTTTTATTCCAAACTTTTACTTATACTTCGTGTATCTCGTTTAATTAACAAATTTGTTTATTTATATAGAGTTTTTTTTTTTTTGTTTTTTGTCTTTTAAAAATTAAATTCTAAGTTCGATTTAAATCTTTAACTAAAAATGTGAAAAGCGCGCTTCTTTCTCAAATAAGTTGAATTTTAATTTGCGGACGAACACGTTTCATAATCATTTCGAATATTTTCATTCATTCATTGATGTTTGCAATGAATTATTTTGGATGGAAATCTTCTCCTTCTTCTTCTTCATCTTCTTCTTCTTCGTCTTTAGAAAATGAAAACTTTCTTTCGCCCGACTAACTTTTTTTTAACTTTCTGCCTTTTTCTTTTTTACTTCTCTATTAAGTAAATTTCGCTTCAAACAACTTTTAAGTCGTTTAACTAGAAAAATTAAAACCAAAACTTTATATGTAAAAAAGTTAAAAAAAAATTCTACTCAGAATGCTTGAATGATTATCGTTTAATGTAAGTATACAAATTGGAAAATCTTGCATACATTGCTTATAATGAATAGGCGTGGCAGAACAATTATTGCAATCGCAGATAAGCAGTTTGTAAGAAATTTCGCGAAATTAACTCAATATATATATAGGGTGCGCTATAATATATATATTTTCGGCTTGATCTGGACTTTATAGGGCTTAGTTTCTTTGACAGCGGAAGACTTCACAAAACAAATCAAATCTTAAATCCATTCATCGGTTATTCTTATACAAGCGATTAGGGTTGAAATGAATCCACGCTTCACATGGATTATCCGCGCCATTGCAACTATGCATTAATTCTTTATTTATTTATTTATTGTTGATATATATTTTGGATGGATTTAAAGGCTGCCTGCAAACTCGCGACCATTGAGTTCTTAGTGGCGAGCTTTTCCCTACCCGACTCGATTCATTCAGTTAACAAATGCCATGCCTGTTATCAGTTGAGTGACTAAAGTTTAGATTGCGCCCAATCACTGCAGCGATAAAAAGTATTTAGTAAATTAAAATCCTTGTAAGGCAATTTCGTAAACTACTTTCGACTCAGTCCTTCGCCTATGGCGTACATTTTCTGATATAAAGAAGCAAAACGCATTAAAGATGCGCAACTTATTCTTGCATATTCTACATTCGTTTGAGCTACGTATAGAATGTAAAAAATATTCAAAAGATTTTATTCATCTGTTCTTCAAAGTAGATTTCATTGGACTTTCGTTTACGCATTTTTCATACTGGGAAAAATATCAATCAGGATATTATGAAAGGCAGGATATTAAAAGACATTGCTGGCACTATAGCTCGGCACTTTTAAGTTACATATGATGATTATTTGCCAGAAGTTTCCTGATTTTACCGGTATTCTCTTCTTCTTCTAAAGCAAAATTCATCGCAATTTGTATAGAAAGCCATATTGCGTATCATGTGTTACTCGGTTAGAACTTATCGCAAAAATGAATGAAAAAGTAAGAAAAGTATTATGGTAGGCCACAGCCCACTATTAAATATCCTACGCTGCTGTGCTGAAGGCATTTATTCATATAACGACTATACAAATTAAGCCGTTTTATGGGAAGTGATCGAAAAAGTGGGCCGACTCGAGTCATTCTCAATGATTTAAAAACATGTCGGTTCACCATATTTCATCGAAATGTTTAAAAAATTGCGACTCAAGACAGACGCAAGGCCAGATATGCTTTGATCGATGCCAAAAGTGATTTGGTCGATCTTAAGACTCGGTGTTGCATACACTTGCCCAAACTCAATATCCCTTAAACCAGTAATGGTGTAGTGAATTCTAATCTGAAGTTTTGTCATAAAAAATGTTCTATACTAAATTTGGACCGTGTCTTCTTCTTTCTTACAGTTGCATTACTATCGAATGATGCTTAGTATGAATCTGGTGTCAGTTTCGTTCACGGAATCTTTTTTGTTCATGTTTTCGGTTTTTCTTCACTCTGGTTGTTGGGAGGGAACTGGTGTTTGGAGAGTTTAATAATTGTTGCACGATTACGTCAAAATTGCGAGGGCAATAAATATTGAGATTTTGATTAGTTCAGAACGCAGAAAGCAATCCACGCATACATATTCATTTAGCTTCATATTCTAAGTCCGTGGGCCATTGGGCACCTTGAACTAACTATTTTCAGTACAATCACAAACTAAAACAATCCGTATGCTGAGGCAATGTCCCAAGCAAAGGAAACGTTTTCACAATTTTATTGCGTCGCTTTCGATCTTCAAAATTCTTTACGTCCTACTTTGATCGGCAAATCACTATTTATGGGAATAAGATTTTGTTAGGGCCTGTAATTTGCATCGATTTGCGTATAACTGATTCTGAGAATAGTGTGTCTCGCTACTCAATCGATTACTTGAAAGAGTTTGTTTTTTACTATTGAAATAAAATCGACTTTCGCTGCGGCATAATGCATAGACTCGGCACTGCACAAGCATAGTTAAATTGAACGTTTCATCTGCACTTAGCAACAAATGTCTGATGTCTTGCTTTCTTTCTTTCTTTTGTTTCGCTAAAGTAAAGACAACGAACTGGAGACAATATCCTCCGTCTACTTATTTCGAAATCCTTTTCAGTTTAGTTTAATAATCATAATCATGATAATAATAATAATTTTGAAATTCATATATAATAGCAGTGATATATTGTTATTGACAAACATGCGCATGTATTTAGCATAACGAAGTGCATTTATGTGTAATGAGTCATGCAAATTGTCACAATATAGTCCATCGTTCTGTCTATCTGCCTGTTTGTTTCAGCTTTTAGTGTAACACACCTTGAAATTTGAATAAATTAAGAAAAAAAAGCAAACAGAGAAAAATAAAACAAATTTTTGAAATGCAAATGAATGATTGCGTCGGGAGTGTAGGAAGAAGATGTAACGACGTACGCTGCCACGCAATGCAAAAAAAAAAATATATATGTATGTATATATACAGAAAAGGCAAAAAAAGAAGGTAAAGCTATAAAAAAAATATTTTTCATTAATAGTAGAAATGATTAATAATGACGAGAGAAACTGAAAGCATAAAATCAAGCAACATATTTTTCCTTTAAAGTTTTCATCCGAGACCAAAAGTTTATTGTATTCTTTTTTCTTTTTTTTTTTTTTTTTTTGTTTGTAACTCTTTCTCATCATCTTCATAATTACTTGCAAAACTTTCTGTTAAACTTTTAATCTGGGCAAAAGCTAAAACAAAAAAAAACAAAAAAAAAAAAAAACAAAAAAAAACATTTATATATATATGTATATATATGTATATTGTAATATATATGAGTTTTATAAGATATTCTTTCTGAAGACATTCTTTCTCAGTTTTTATGATAATATCTTAATGTCTCAGTTGTGCTAGAAGTGTAAAGTTTCAACATTAGTTTTGTTTTGTTTGGAACATGTCATGATATTGTCGGGCGCATGGGGGAAATTTGCAGCATAGTTGCAGTGTGATGTTTGGCTGTGAGAAAAATTCAACAAATTTTTTTAAAGCTAACTTTTAAATGAAAATATTTGCTAAACATTTCAACTCTGAAGAAGATAAATTAAATAGGAATTTCTCTTATATCCTGAAGAGTAAACTAGAGCAGAGTGTTTTCAATTTTCATTTTCAAAACTCCTATTCTTTTCACGGGAACACTTCATCTTTTTTTGTGTCTTTTAAGCATATTTGGCGACATTATTGCACGATAATATAAAAGCAAAAAAAAAAAAAAAAAAAAATGATAGACAGACAGACTTAACATAATTCATTTAAAACGCGATCAACTTTAAAGAACAAACAACAACAACAATATTCAGTATATAGTAGGCGGAGGAATAATTCTCTGTTGTAAGTCTGTGCGGACGTATAAAATATTTAGAAGGAATTGAGAAGGCCCTTCCACCTTTTATTATACCGATCAATTCTGATATTAATTTTTAGCTTGTCTGTCCATCCGGCTATTTATTCGTCTTTTATGCTTTTATTCAATCCAAAGGTCAACCAACATTCTTGAGGCATTTTATTGAAATTTTGTACACCGCCGTAATTTGGCCCCAAAGGACAACACTATTCAAAATTGTTCAGATTGTGCCACTTTTTTAAAGCACTTCCCCTGTAAGACTTCATTTTGAGTACTCATCATATAAATAACTGGAGCAAGTGATTTGTTGTAGGCTATTGGTAATGGTGGGCCATGCTCCATTATAGTTTTTTTTCCTTGTTTATTTATTTATTTTTTTTTTCAAAAGAATAGTAAGATTATCGGAAGGTAAGACCATCGGAAAATGAAGATTATACTCCTGATGCTGCTGATAAACTAGCAATTTCGTGCCGAAAGGCTATTCGTCGTTGTGAAGACGTCAAAACGATGCTCAGACACACAATAAGTCATCGATTGGATCTCAAATGTATCCGAAGGGGGCTATTGTAGCGTAAAGTCAATCAAATTCCAGTCCAGCGCTGCTAAGATTTCCTGGGTAACTCGTTTCATATAGGCCTGAAAAATCTTCCCTCTAAAAACATTATGACTGTTGTTACCTTTTCGTTTATTTTTCATCTCCATTGCATCAGTTTTTGCCGGTTTTGATTGGCTAACAGGCAACGCAATTTCGTCGCTTAGAACTTTCAATGAAGAATTACAAACAGTTTAACGTACTGAGTAAACTCATTAAGTTTTCTCATATTTAACGCGTAAATATTCATGCGCTACGCCCTCTTTCCTAGTTATAATCCATCCTAATTATCATCGCGCTTACGCATATATCGCTGAGAGTCTTGCTATTCAAAAAAAAAAAAAAAAAAAAAAATTCGAAACCGAAATCTGAGTTAATATATCAGTTTGTCGGGCTTTCATTTAGAAAGAACCTTACGTGAATAATTTAGGTATAAAAAATTCGTCAGATTTTAATACGAGTTGTATATATATATATATACATGTATATATGTTTTTTAATTTTTTTTTTTTTTTTTGCAGTTGCAACAATCGTGCAAAAGTGGGTCAACTACAACAACCCAAAAACAAGATTTGAGTTTTCTGCACGAAGCCTCACCAATATACGTGACCTCGTTCAATAGCAATCAGATAGCGTGCAATAGCGCAACTTTAACGACAGCATCCACAGCTACCTCGGGCCTTATAAGCGCCACAACAATAACACCAACAGTTGCAGCGGCTTTGACGACTAACGTTAGTAAAACGAAAACAATCACAGTAGCAGCAACAGCCGGTGCTGTTGGTATTGGTGGTAGTCTGGCGATAAGTGCCGTTGCTAGCGATAATAATGCGAACAACAGCAATATCGCAAGAGAACCAGCTGTAACGAAAGCAATCACACAAACAACAACAACAACGGCAACAACCTCACTAATAGCAAATCATAAAAGTGTTTATCAAACAACACAATTGCTGGCGGGTCAAACTGCTATAGCGGCAACAGTGCCGGCGACAGCAACGCAACATAAACTTAAATTAGCTAGCAGTTTACAGCATTTAGCTTTGGCCGAGGAGGACGACGACGATGATTTGGCGGCAGTAGGTGCTAATTATTGTAGCATTAATTTTATCAATTACAAAAATAAGCATGCTGAGATACCCACACCAACTACGGCAGCAGTGGCAGCAACTATACTAACGGCGACAAGTGATAATGCAGCGACAGTAAATACGTTTAGTGCTACAGCGACTGTACATCAACAACAGCCAAAACATCATTTCCGCGAACATATACCACCGCCTTTACAAATACCGTCGCATAATGTTGTGAAATATGTGGACGCTCAAACATTGACATCACCACATTTGGCCAAAGATGTTGTGGATTTGACGGCGCCTGTCAAAGCAAACCAACAACCACAGGAACTTTACAATAATAATAATAATACTAATAATAATAATAATAATAATAATAATAATAACAATAATTTAACAGCATTAGCGACAGCGACAGCGTCAGTGTCAGCGCCGGCAATCACAAAAACGACAGCAATAACAACAACAACAACAACAACAACAATAGCATTAGCAACGGCAGTATTAGGTAATAATAACAATACACTAGGTAAACACACAACGTCATCAGCAACAGTCGGTGCGCCCGTTAATCATTTAGTCAACTCAACAAACAAACAAATATCAGTTTCGGAGCTTAGTAATAGCAAAAGTTTAGGAGTTGCCACGCAAACATCTTCAACAATCGCCGCAACAGCAGCAGCAACAATTGTCGGTATTTGCACTACAGCGCCACCATCATCCTTACCCTACATTAGTAATAATTGTGATTTATACTTAACAAATATAACAAACCATCCACCGAGAAGACAGGTATGAAGACTTGATTTTTCATTTCATATCAGTTTACTTTCTTTATTACATCAGCTCTCCTTTCCTTCTCGTTTTTGCTTTCTTTTCTTTTCTTTTATTTTCCTTTTTCTTTTTTACTTAGTTACTAAATCAACTCAATGAGGATTCTGCTCATCACTATATCATCGATGATGGTGATGACGACGAAGAGATTGACGATGATAAACAATTAACAAGTTTATCAAATCAACAAGTGAATCAATATCAGCAGCAGCGACAACAGCAACAGCAACAGCAACAACAACAACAGCAGCAACATCTCTACGATAATAAACAATTAAATTATAGTCCAAACAGTAGCATATCAAAAGGCAGAACAGAATTATTGTTAGGCGATCAAACGTTGAGGCAAGAAATCAGGTAAGAGTGAAAAAATTTATTAATAAAAATTTTTTTTAAATAAAAATGAATAAAATAAAAATTACTTAAAAATTTGCGAAAAAAAATCTATCTCTTTTTTCAAAAAAAATTAATTAAAAGTTTTCTTAAATAATTCCCATATGCAATTTTTAGATTAAAAGTTGAAAAGAAAAGTTTCCATAAAAATGTTGAGAGAAAACTGACTCATACTGTGGATGCAATGAAAACAAATCATAAAAATTGCGCCTTACAGTCTACATAATATTTTTAAATTGTCGGAATGAAAGCGCATGTAATGCGTGAAATCAAAAGTGAAAAACTTTCATCCATTTCCACCTGTAATTTGCATACACCTCATTACCTTAAGCGTACATAGATGGTATATAAAAATTGCAAAAGGTTTTGTTTACTTTGCGTTTATCGCTCCTCCATGCAAAACATTTTCACATTGACAGACACTCATAATAAAGTTTGCAACAATATCTACTGTAAGCAGCAGCTTTCTTTTCTTTAGAACTAATAAATCTAACGCCTTCCAACTAATCACATATATCAGATTAAGTTTTCTGTCAGTATCTTAGTTTTTAAATATTCTCAAATTATCTCAGATAATTGGCTAAATAAATTCCGAATTCTATTAGTTAGTAAGACTGCTCCGAGTTCTATATCTGAAATAAGAAATTCGGTATACTATTTTCGATCAATGAACGAACGATCATATACTATAAATATTATATTTTCATGTACTTTACAATGAATGTGGATATGTGCTCGCCTTTTGCATAGCGAATATTTTATTTACATACGATACATATAAGATTGGTGAAATAAAATAAAAATTTTTTTTTTTTAAATAGTAAGTAAGCCATTGGTTGAATTGGTTATAATATCATGGAGTCAATGATATAAAGGCAAATAAAGTGTAATCAATTTTTTTAGCCATTGTAGGGTGCATTTCGCTTGCAATTATCCCCTACTGGGTTTACTTGCTGATTGCGCATTTCGTCAAGTCATATAGCTGACTGACTGACTTCAGCATACTGAGCCTTATATTCCTATATTCATATTATTTCCTTTTCGCTTCAACGGCAATATATTTAAATATATCTTAGGGCCACTTTATGTGTGCATGAAATTTGTTTTATCTAATAATGTATTACTTGTGGTTTTCAACAACATTTTTTATATACTTAACTACTGTAAACTGTGCAATAAGTGCTGAAATCAAAAAGTGTATAGCATAGTTTTGGGCTTTCGCATGAAGAGAGAAACGAGAGTGGTATAAAATAGTTTTAGAAAAGAGAAAACCTTTTGAAAATTTTTGAAAAATTATTTTCTAATAAATTCTTTTACCTTTGGTAATAAATTTTTTTTTTTTGTTTTTAATAAATTTTTTTCCCCTTTTTTTTTATTTTTTAAATATATTTTTCCTTTACAAAATTTTGTATGTTTCTAACCGATTCTAATCGTTCGAACAATTTTTTTTTTGTTTTTGTTCGGAAGTAACTGAAATTTTATGCATCATTTAGTAAATGTGTACATGTGCACATATTATTCCTCGACTTCCCCTTACATAATCAGCAGCATCGTAGGGAGTATGTGTGTGCATAGGAAACTATTTTGAACAAATTCGAAATTTTGTATTTTTTTTGTATTTTTTCTTTTTTTTTTCTTTTCACCTTTATACAGACTCAATAGATTGTTGTAGTTTAAAATTGTACTTAACTGGTGTCGGAATTTCCCTGCCTGTGCAGGGCGGGAGAGAGAGAGAGAGAGAGAGAGAGAGAGAGAGAGAGAGAGAGAGAGAGAGAGAGAGATTAGTAGAAAAATTGTATGTTATGTTAAAGAATTTTCATGCATCACCCACGCACAGGTATTCGTGTGTAAATAATAAATGAATTACTAAAATGGTGTGTAGAACGAGGATAAATAAATTTTTAATATGAATTTTATCATTTTTTGGAAAATGAAACTTTTGATGCACGAAAAAAAAGGGGTGAAGAAAACTTCCTAGAATCAATGATATAAAGCAGGGATTTCGGATAGCTTACGATTAATTACGAAGATATTGAGTTAAAGTTAAGAAAATCTTAACTTTAATTTCTACAACTTTGTCACTTCAAATTTTTAAGTAGACTTGAAATTTGGTCTATTTTGCACCAAATTACACATTTGGTCATTATGCTGACAAACTTCAAGATTTGCTTGTGAAAATTTTCCAATAATTTTGAGCGATATATTTCCTCCCTTATTTCAAAATTATGGCGGTTCTTGTCAGCAATAAAGTTATTTTTTTTACTATTCTCTCAGCGGTGCAAGCAAACTTTTTTTGTGATTCAATTTTTATTCCTATCTGCTTATGTTTCTTTTACTTTTCTTTGGCGAACTCATTCGATTTGATGTCCTGCTTCCCGCTATAGAAAGGATACGTAGCTTCAATCATAATAAACACAAACTATTGTTGTGATTACAAGCTGGCCATCACCTGTAGCGTTTATTCATAAAATTGACTCACTTTCATTTATTTGTTTGATGCAAGCGAACTTAACCGATTTCAAGTACAACGAATCCTTCTGTTATCATTTGTTGCTTCTGGTGTGTTTTTTGCGTTCTGTCATCAGCATACGCAAATAATTCAAATATAATTCTCTTCATAGTTTAATAGCAAATATTAATACATTAGCTGGACGCAGACTACGTTAGGCCGAAGCGCGATAGCTGCAAGAATGGTGGGCACATTATCTTCGCCAAGCGGGTATTGAAACCTCTAAGCATGATTTTTACTTTGCCGCAAGAAAATCGAGTTCTTCGTCTGACCTTCGTCTAACATGTTCGTGGAAACTTGATCGATACAACTTTTGAGTATAATATTACAGAAGGCTGTTGAAGACCCCATTGCAGTTAGTATGAAAGGCCTTAACAGAACAATGTAATCTTGCTCGTATGACTTTCCTCATCCGTATCGGTTCAGATTACAAAAGGGTTTTTATGGTCAAGCGGTCAAGGCATAGAAACGATGAATTTTCTAGCCAGCAATAAAGAAAATTCAATATAAACTTCTTTAAGGAACATCGGTCGACCGATTTTGAAAACTTTTTTCAAATCCCCTTACAATAATAGCAAGCAAATATAGCACAACATAAGATACCTGTTATTGGGCAAAGTAGTTTTAATTTTAAAATGAACTAAAGTCTAACTTGATCTAAATTTTGTATTAGGAGGAATTTTTTTTTTTTCTGAATGACTTTATAGTTTTATTATTGACTATTATTGTTGTTGTGTAGACATTAAAAATTTATTCGGCAACTAATTCTGCATTATTGCCAATCATTTATTTTCTAAACCTCGGGATCATTAAAATAGATAATGACGCAGTTTCTTTTATACGACAAATTTAATTAATGGAATAGCGATGAGACGAAGAGCGACGATAGAGCGTTAGAATAAAGAAATGTATGGGAAACAGTAGTTGAACAAGACGCAAATTAAGTGACACTGGCACGCAATAAAAGGCAAAGCCAGAGTCATTATCTTTATAGTCCTTTTCTTTTCTTTTTTTTTATTATTTATTTATATATTTATTTACTTTTTTTTTTTATGCGTTTTCATCCAGCAATTTCACTCGGTTGTGTTGTATTCTTCTGAGACATATTGTGAACCTTTTCGCTGCTCTGTTTATTGGCAACGAGAAATCTTTCTCTATTTTCATTCGTTTTTTGGTTCGTTTGTGCTTGCGCGTGTGCTTCCATAATGCGATTTCTATTTATTGGTTTGATATAAAGCATTCAATGTTTTTTTTTTTTTTTTTTTTTTTTTTTTTTTTTGTTGAGTGCTGCAGATTGACAGCGTATGGCTATAAAGCAGTTGCATAACTGACATTCCGTTTTTCTTTTTTGCTTTAGCTTAATGGTTACTGGGCAGTAAAGTTGAGAGTGCATAGTAACAAGATTGAAAATTTTTTAAATTGTATTTCTATTGTCACCAATGCTTTCTATATTTTTTTTTTTTTTTTTTTTTTTGTTTAGTTCTTTCCTTTGGAACATGTCAGCTTTTAAATTATTATATTGAATTCGTTTCCATCTGTTATGTACTTCAAAATTTCAGAAATGTTTTTCTTTTACTATAATTTTTTTTTTATTTATTTATTTTTTTTTTATTAATAATTGATTATGTTGCCCTGATTTGTTGCAAAAATTCTTTTAAAATTGAAAGGCAGAAGATTTATGAAAGACCTTTACGAGCGGCGAGGCTTACTAGCCTCTCTGCTTATCTATATGATAGACGTTAGTCATTATCTTCCTGGCTACCGTTGTCAATCAACTAAAGTTAAACGGCGCCCGACAGTGTCAGGAAGCGATTTTACAAATATGCAGATAATAACTTAACTTAAGAAATATAAATGTATAAGGGAATAAGACGATGCATAAAATCTATATGTAAAATGTAAATATAAAAATTAAAAATAAATTTTCTTATAAACGTCTCGAAAATGCAACTCAATTTTTTTTTTTTTTTTTTTGCATTTTTTGAAGTTAGGTTTTCTCATCGTAGTAAGACGTGCAGGTATTAATAAAATTTGGAAATTATTCGATTTTAACTTGTGCTAATGGCCCGGTTAAGCGAAAGGGCTACAATTAATGAATGATTATTAAATAATGAATTTATTAATTAATTATCTGAGTTAAAAATTGGAGAACATCTAGGATTCAAGAATTAAGTGAAACGACCTTCACACGCGACAGAACTCAGAAGTCATTCTTAGCTGAATGATGAGCGAAAACGCCCAAAAATGATCTTACAACATATATAAGGTGAGATCCAAAGAATCTTAATTATCTAATTCGCATTTTTAGGCCTAAGACGAAAGCATGGGCTATACATTATTTAACTTTATGCGGGCGTCTCATTGCGTCCTGAATTTTTATACCCTACATAACTTGTGATATAGCGTGTAATAAGTTTGTGCGAACACGTTCTGTAACAAGCAGACGGGCTTAAGA